AAAAAAAAAAAAAACAAAAACGGTCTTTGATAATAAACCTCATCATCGTGAACAATGAACCAAATGAAGTTTTCTGCATCCTAAGGGGCAGAGGGGGCAGCGGCTCCCTCAGGCTCCTCGGCAGTGGAGGCTGACAGTTGACAGAACAAGTTGTTTTTCCAGCTGCAGCTTTTGGGAAGGAGGACCCCGCACCTTGTGCTCAGTCAGGAGGAGGATGGGAAGGAGCAAAATCAAAGTTTGGAAAAGGTGAAGTTCCGCTTCCAAGTCAGATGGCTCCTGGGACCGAATGCTTCTCCGAGCAGCCTGCCCCGGGGGGGACCGTCGTGGTCTGTGAAAAGGCCTCGGTCCCTTTCTCACCCCAGGTTCCCTGGCGGTTGTTGACGTTTTCACGCTTTGCAAGAAGCTCGTACAAGATACAGAAGAGCCTCTTGAACGATCGCTCCATCCTCTAAAATAGTTGACATTTTACTTCTCGGATCCGGTGCTGCCGTGGCCTCCGCTCCACCCCGAACGACGGTCTTCCCCGGGGTCCATCGGTGCAGTGGCTCCAGGTGTGAGTGGCAGGCCCTCCTGAGTCCCGGGCCCCCCCGGGCTGGGCCCGCGCTCTGGTTCTGGGGGTCTTCTACACGATTCCGAGGTGCGCCAAAGTTTGTGAATCGCTGTTAGAAGAATCCAGAGGTGGATGTGCTTAAGGACCCAGGTCCAAGACGTTTCAGCGTGCAGTTCTGCCTTCTGCATGAAAATATGAAAACATTTGCATTTAAGTCCCTTGCTTTGGGAAGTGTTTCTGATATGGAGAGATGGGGACCATTTCGTGGGCTCGCTTCCCTGGGTTTTTTGGTGCTGTGTTCCTGAGGACTTGACTCCCAAGATGCTGAAAGTACAACTGTATTCAGAATTTGATTCCGTTCATTTTCTTTAGCTTTGAATTTATGGTGGACAGTATTACTATAGTCGCAACTGAAATGAAAACTTTTTTCATGTTTCCAAGCATTTCCGTTAATCTCTGTACACTAGTCCCCTTTCACATTCTCTTCTTCTAAATACCACGAAGAACAAAGCTGCGCCCACCAGGGATGCCGGAAATATATTACCTACTCACGATGCACATGAATAAGTTCCTTGAGAGGATGGCATCATATTTGGACCTCAGTCCTGTTTTCAAATGTGACTTTATTTTCACATTTATTCAGACCCCAGACACAGGCGTGCGGACAAGTAGGTGGGTCCGTAGCTGCAGAGACTAAGAAATGTGATCTGCCATCTTAAAAATCTGTTTAAGGTTTTTAATCCCAAACTTGCCTCAGTTACTACCATCGGAGGGGAAAGAGAAGGGACCCTTTTGAAGACCCGGAAGGTCACGTTCCTGGGGATGGCGGGTGCCGGGGCGGTCGAGGGTTGAGTGTGCCCACCTCTGCCTCAGCCACGTCCCACTGTCTGCTGTGACGGGCGGACCCGGGTGCCAGGACTGCATACACATTTCTGTTAAACCTCTTGTCACCCGTGGGTTCTGTCACCGGTTTAGGTACCGGATGCGTGTCGTCCTTAAAAGCCAAGCAAGATCTGGCACCACTGTGGTGCAGGCAGAATGAAGTAGCCGGCTGAGAGTGAGACCCCAGCTTCCTCCCAACTAGTTTCCACGCCTTCTTTAGAAAGTAACTGTTCGTGCCCACGTTGACGAGGCAGCTTATTCTGTTTTGAGCTGCTTTCTGTGGGGAGAGCTGATCCGTTGGGCTTATCTTTGGGGAGGTCAGAACGTGTGAATTTTTCCTCCCCGCCTGCTCATTGGGGAAGGGGTGACGCAGGAATAGGCTTGCTCTCCAGACTTTGCCTTCCGATACGCCATCGGTACCCAAACATAGGGGATTCTGGGAAAAACAGGACAGTGCTTCGAACACTCTAAAAGGTCCTAGGAAATAGATGGCAGTTAAAAACTGAACCAGCACACGATCTATGTTGTTTGAACTCTGAGACACTCAAAAAAGTTGAATTTTTGAGCTTTTCTCTCAGCAGGAGAAGTGACGTAAGCTCGAATTTTTTCATGAACGCTTACAGGCCTCTGCTACTTAGTGAGTTTCTGTGGATAATGTCAATACTTCACAAGCATCCTGTGTGTTCATTCTGTGCTATTGAAGAGGTTCTGTCCTTCAGTGGCTTACGATTCTACCCGTGTGGGAACGTGTGTGAGATCTTGAGGCCGCCCAGCTCAGGAAGTTCTGCTGTGCTTTGTAGGACTGGGAGGATGTGGACAGAGGTCACTGCGTTCAGACGGAGAAGAGCTTTGGGTGACGAGGAGAGTCATAGCATCAGGGCGATTGTTTGACAAAGGTTACTTTGCAAATTATGCCGCCTGCTGCTTCTCCATGTGCTTCCGGTGATCTGATCGGAGAAGATAAATGTGTGGGCACGTGAAAGTCTGCGTCTGTGGCTAATGTGGTCTGTTTTAATCCCTTAGGTGCAGCTATCTTCTTTGAATTCAAACACTACAAGCCTAAAAAAAGGTTCACCAGCACCAAGTGCTTTGCTTTCATGGAGATGGATGAAATTAAAGCGGGGCCGATTGTAATAGAACTGTAAGTGACGCACACACAGGATTCATGCTAGTTTAATGGTGACTAGTAGTTCTTCTCGGTATGTGACCAAAGACTAGGTCAGCTATCAAAGTGTTTTAAACCATGATCTTTCTACTGTGGTTACAGATACAAGAAACCCACTGACTTTAAAAGAAAGAAATTGCAGTTATTGACCAAGAAACCACTTTATCTTCATCTACATCAGACTTTGCACAAGGAATGATCCTGACATGGGTGACCTGGAACGTCTGTGAATCCCACCACTCAGTAGAGACCATCCCAGCTCGTGTAGCACAGCCCCCTCCGCCAGGCAGGAAGCAGGCCGCGCCCACGCCGGGAGGCCAGAGCGAGTCTGCAGAATTCACAGTCCGCACACCGCTGACACGGACGACCCCTTTGGATACAGGCTTGTTGTAGTTTTGAAACCTGTTTTTACTTTTCTAGTGTTTGTGCAATTCGTAGTCTCTCTTCTAACTTACCGCTGTTCCTGCCCTGCTTCCTGGAACAACACTGCTGTCGTAGGATGTGCTCACCTTCGAAACTAATACAGCAATAAGATTGTGCTAGAATGTACACATCGGTTCACTTCTGCTCCAGTATGCTTTTTTGGTTTTTTGAGTTAACGCCAGACTTTGGGCTGATGTGGGTGGGATGGTGTGAAACTTTCCCAAGAGGAATTGGACCAGATTTTGCTGCCCAGGGAGGTCAGTCTGGAATTGTATAGGCGGCTCCTCAGACGTGGCCTGAATTCACCCCGATCTCTAGTTCTCCTGTTTAGAAATCGTGTGCCTTGGCCGGATCGGTGTCCCCTGTGGGAGCGTTCCAGATGACCGGATTGCTTTCGAGAGCGCGGATTTGTGGTCCAGCCGATGAGCGGGTCCGCTACGTCACACACACCGCTGTTCTGAGGGCGATTCCAGCGTTAATGGTGGAACCGTCTCAGAACAACTGCAGGTGTTTGGACGGCTCCGTAACGTCTTCTGAGTCGTGTTAACCCGAGTCCGATGCTGACGAGACACTGCAGGAATAACTGCTGTTTTTCTGACAACTGATTGTGAAACCTTAAAGCCTGCACCCCTCTTCTTCAAGTGGGGAGCGTGCAAAACCTGGAGCTCCTCTGTGGTTTCTTTACGTAGGTAGTTAGGATCGCCATTTATTTCCTAGATATACTGACTTTCATCCCTAGGGAAATACGCAGGTCATGAGCTTATTATAATTTGACTATTTACATTACTTTTGACTTAATGGGGCGTAAATAAAACTTCCAGAGTACACCCGAGGTAGATATTTGATAACACAGAACAGTAAGGCTTGGGGTGGGCTTTCTGTGGGTCAGACGTAGAACCCACATATTTAATACTATTTTAAATGCCCAGTGCTAGCATGAGGGGAATGCAGGGCCAGCCAGTCCTTGGCCTGTTTTTCAACTAGCCGAAGAACCCTGGGTGTCCCTTCAGCGTTTGCTTTTTAGAATAAGTAGCCACAATGAAGTGTTCTAGCCCTTGCACTTCTCGAGAGCTGATCTTTGCCTTCCGTTGTCTGTCAGTTCTGTTCCAAGAGGGGGGTTATAAACTGTGAGCCTGGAGGAATTCCCAGCCAAATTAATCCTCTCTCTCGTTTGGATTAGACTAATCCCAAGATGATTCAGTCCACGATAGCTCGAGGGGAAGAAATTGCCTTAATAAATTACCTTGCTGTTCACTCAACCCTCAGAGCGGGAGCTGTCGGCCCCCAGACCGTCAGCTCCTCAAGGGGCAAGAACCACATTTTCTCCAAGTCGTGTAAATGTCCTGAGGTGCTTGATGGCACGCTGTAGCCTGGAGAGCACGCAGTCCCTTCTGTTCGATGTTGCTGACGAGACCGAGAAAATAATCCCGTGAAGTACCTACTATTAAAATGTAGCAAAACTGATACATTGGTCTTTCTCTTTTCTCATAGACCGTAAGACATGTATGTCAGTGATAACTTATATGAAGGAACATCTCCTGTCATTCACATAAATGGTCTGTATGAACTACAGTTGCCTTTCACACCAGTATTAAAGAAGTTTAATGGATGCCGTGATTAGCCGAGCTTTAATTCAGACCTGAACGGAATGACAGAACAAGTGATCACCTTGAAGCAGTAGACACAGAACACGGTGCTTCCCACCAACTACTTTTCACTTTCCAATGAAAAAACTCAGCTATTGAACGGTCACTGTGGTCGAAATGCTTTCAGGCCGAAACACGGCTGCCTCAGAAACGAGATGGGTTTAGCCACTAAGCCCAGATACACGCTTAGCCGGTGACGGCTTCTGGAACGGCTGGAGCCCAGGGACCCCCTCCCCCACCTCCACCCCCCAGGCGCTGGGCTCCCCTGGACCCTGCTGCGGCGGCGGTGCCGTCCGAGGCTGGGCTGGGCGCCGACTACGGCAGGCTCACAGCGGCTCGGGTGAGCCATAGGTACTCAAGTTGCTCTACAGGTCACGGACTGTGCAGAAATAGGAGATACAGGACAGACATCGGAAAAAGTTCACGGTAAAAAAGACTGGCTCTGATTTTAAAATAGATCTAATGCACCTTTCCTACTTGCTTCTCTCTCCTAGCAGGTATGACCTGTATTCTAACACTATATACAAGACATCGTATGAACTGCCTAATTTTTGTGTCCAGAGACCGACATATTCAAAAGTTGCATTTGCGGACTTAATTGTATTTTACCCAGTTAAAAACAACCTATGCTATTAAGAATGGAGGTGTTCCTCTTACGTTTCCTCTCTTGACATGAAATGGGAAGACCTACATATGAATTCTCTTCCTGCGGAACTACTTCTGTATTCCTTAAGAATTTTGAAGAGTGGTTTTCTTTCAATGGTTATCTTCCTAAAGTGGTATTTCTTAGTTTAGTACAAAGAGAAATCTTTGTATCAGTTAAGCTTTTGTTTTTATTTCATAGCGTGTTAGTACATTAAATTTACGACGACAAGTCATGGTCTAGGTTTCAGTAGTATCAGGATGTCACAGAACTTCGGAGAAGGGGAAAGCATAGCCTCAGTAGTGAATACCAGCCTTTTCTAATTTTGATTAAATCGTAAACGTTGTTTCAAAGACGTGGCATAGAAACGGGGATAGTTAGGACTTTAAATGTGGCATAATCCCAGATTCGTAGGCTTACCGATTTTCAAATTTAAGTGCCATCATTCCAGTCTTGATGTGGGAGTGGTTGGTAATCAACAGGAAGAACTGAGGTCCTAAACCACCCTTTCTCAGAGTAGTGCCCTCTTCTGATCTTTTCCCCCATATTCCTTGAAAACCAGAGGCAAAGGATGGGAGAAATATTACATTTTACTTTTTTAAAAAGAAATTTCCTTCTTATGGTCACAACACATCCTGTTCAGTTTTCTGTTTTGCACCCTCAAAGCAAGAATGGTAAAGGTAACATCAGGTCAGACGACTCTTCCCCGATGGAAACTCATCCTCAGGAAAGCATTCTCACCCAGGCAACAAAAGTCACCGGAAAGCACACGGATGCCGTACAGTAAGGGCCCACAGGCCTCCCTGAAGGTCAAGGGAGATGCGCAGTTGTGGTGTTCCCAGGGGACGTTAGGCTGACCCCCCCCCTCCCCCACAGTGAGCAGCAGGGAGCTTGCTGCCAGCTCACGACTCCAGCTCTGGGAGCCCATGTTTACGTGGTTCCAAGATGGCACAGTCCTCGTGAGAAAGCAATCCAATGAATCGACAGACACTTGGGAAATACTAATAACCAAATTTTTATGAACTATTACTACAAAGAACTTCAGCAAGAAGGGAGAGTTAATGATCTTTTAGTAAACATTTTTAGCGTAACAGTCTTTGTGACCAGATATTTTAAAAAACCAAGCTTATAAACACCATTGCTCTGTATTCAACTGGTGCACACTAAAAACAGGATAATAAATGGAAATACATGTTCTAGCATTTCCACAGGAAATGTTCATATTTCTCAGGACTCTAAATCATGGAGCAGTTACGCGCTACGTTAACTAGAACACAGGTATTCTTTATTGCACATTTCAAGGTTGTCAGAAGGCTCTAGCTTATGAGGTGGTTTTTATTTAGGGGAAATGATATTTTTCAATTGTTTGGCTCAAAAATGCACACTGCCAGGGCAGCTTGGTTCTAAAAACATACCTTTTAAAATAAACTTCTGGATTCTGAAGCCAATGAAATCCTTTACCGTAACCAATGTGCCCAGCCCACTTTCTCTCAGACTGAACGTCAGAGGTCAGAGTTACGGGCTCTGTTTTAAAGCCTGTGAACAGTCCGGGCTGCTGCTCTGCGAGGCAGCGGGGGGCTCATCTCTGGAGCCAGAAGGCAGGAAGTCTCTTGCAGCAGGTGGAGGCGGATAATCCTGGGGGCCGTGGGTTGGCGGTGGTGGTCGAGTACCAGGAATAAAGTACTCTCTCGGGCCAAGAGAGCCTAAAGGTCTAAAAGGTGTGTGTCCCGGGAGAAATTCTCGAGGGTCGAGAGGCAGGTCCCGCTTCCCAGGTGGAATGCCCGGCGCGTATTCCCTCAAGCCTAGTGGTGGACGTAAGCCAGGACCTGGAAAGAATAAGTCACGTAAAAGCATGCGAACACACGTGGGCACGTCAGTCTTTAATTTCTCACAACTCGAGAAGCCGGGTGGCGGCACCCGCACTTCAGGCAGGAGGCAAAGTGCCTCGACCTAGCTTGTGTGTTTTCTGTCCCACAGTTCTGCCAGCTCTGTCTCACAAGGGCTTGGTTTGTACTTGAAAGCACCGTGTGTCACAGCAAGAAGACAGACTGAAATAAGGGCTTTACTGCAACAAAGAAGTGTGACAGGACCATCTCACTGTCTGCTGCCGTGTCAAAACCTAAGGCGGTAGCTCAGCATCCACCCAACACACCACCAGACCCAGGAAGTCTGCCCCACCGGGGAAAGGCCTTCCGGCCACCCCCCAAATCCTCCCTTCTCTTAGAGCTAAGCTGCCCTACCCCTAATTTCCAAGGTGGGGACTGAAGGTTCAATCTCTCTCTCCTATCGTCTATGATCCCCTGCATATCCTTCCATCGTGGTGATTACAAGCTTTGTTTCCTGACCGATGCCTGTGGTCCAGAGGACACTGTAAACTCTTGAGCTGGGAGAGGGAGTTCTATCCATCTGCAGAAGTAGTATTTCTGGCTTTCTAGAAATCTCTCTGATCTACGAGATACCTACTGCCCATCTCCGTATAGGGGGACTGTGCAGCCCCCCACGTGCCCAAAAAAAAGCGTACTCAGCTTGCTTTGCCCTTTTAGTAGATGGCCCTGTAAAAGCCACTATTAAAATTTCAACAAGGAACAGAGAGAAAAGACGAATTCCACTCTACAAGTCAATTACTACCATTCAATTACCGTACCAAATGGTGGGGGCAGCGGCCGAGGCCCGAAAGGCCCGCAGAGCGGGGGTGGCGGTCCGTATCGAGTGGGGGGTGGTAGAGGGCCTCCCACGGGCGAGCTCATGAGGGGCACCCCTGGGAAAGGAGGAGGCCCTTTTGCAGCCATAGGAACCTGCAGAGCAGAAGCAGTTAAAATTCTGGAAGACTCGGGTATAACACACACAAGCACCAACACCAATAAAAGCTGAGACCCAACGAAGCAGAGGTCAGGCACCTGTCCAAAGGACAACCAGTGTGACAAAGCTTTACCCCTCCCGTCTCTTCCCACTGGCAGCTCAGGCAGGTTAAAGGGATGACCCAGGAGCTAACACCTTCCCTGTCCTATTACTGCTGGAATACGCAAGGCGGAGAAAGCAAGAGGACTGTTGAAGGACATTACCAGAGGTGACTGCTAAGAAATCCTACCATAAACACCACAATCTATTCCTAGGGCAACCCCTTCACCCCCATGTCCTTCCCATTGCCACAACAGGGCACTATTTCCATACTAAGCACGGACAGAACAAGGGGCAATGTAAAATCCGCTTTCTACACATGTGACCATAGCCACCATTCAGAGTGCCTTCCATTTCATGTATTTAATCTGCAGGTCTCTCAATCTCCAAGTATGAACATCCTGTTTTAGACATGAAGGAACAGAGACACAAAGTGTTAATTTGCTGAAGGCCACACAGCATGTAAAAAGCCAGGCTGCCATTCAGGATCACGTCTGCCTGGCCTTCCCCGCCTACCGGCACTTCTGCTCCCCCAACCTAACAAAGGGGCCTCTACTCTCTGAAGTCTACTCCAGGGTTTCAGATCTTCTTCAAGCTGCCCATGGACAAAAAGACCTCAAGAGACGCATGTCCCTCGAGGCCTGCACGGAAACTTAGAGAAGCAATGTTCTCCATACAGGGAGGCAGGTGGAGCTCTCATATTTACCTTCATTCACCAGTAATGCTGTGCTTTCTCATTAGAGACCCTGACCTCCTTTCCTGTGGGAAACTGGGTTGGAAATTCTAAACTATCACGCATACTCTGATTTCCACACAGAGAAGCACCGTGAGGACCGGTGCGGCTCTGGTAGAGAACACGCTCGTGTGAACGTAACCGAAGGGTACTGCTGGAAACCCACACGGCAGGTAAGGACGGATCTCCACCGGTGAGGATTTCACCTGCAGCAAACATTCTTCCCTTGCCAGTCCATAATTTCAGATTACTCAAGACAGCGTCTGCCTAGCGTACAACTGGAGATATTCTTAAATGCCACACTTGGTGTGACGGTGAATTCTATATAGAGTTACTTTCCTTTGCCTCACAACACAACGCCGAGGCACACACAATGCAAAGCTGGAGTGGGGGCTTTCCACATTCTTTAGTTCATTACAAGAGATGTTCTGAACAGGTGAACAGCCTAACCAAAACAGGAAAAAGGAGGAAAAAGCAACCAGTCAGATTTCAGCAACCCAGCAACACTTTCAAGTCAAAAACAACAAGATCAATATTGCCATGCAATTTAAAGCCAAGCAGATTAGTGTCTGCTTCCCTTCCAGGAATACACCAAGTACAAGCTCAGTTCAGTCCTCAACCTCTAAGTACTTACTACTACTGACTGCTCAGCCACAGATGGAATGCTGGGAGCGGAGGGGCCTTCGGGGTCTTGGGCAACAGTTTGCTTTTTAAAAAAATAAATGAGATACTACAGATGTAACAGGCACACAGATGGATGATGCAGAGAGAGGATGTTGCAGAAGTTCAGTGTTTGCTGAAATACCTAGTTACGACTCAGAACACCTGCAGAACTTACCTTGCCTTCATCCATCACCTTAGTAGGGGAAGAGCTTCTCGAGCTGCTGTTCGCCATGGGAGCTGCACCGGGTCCTGGATCTGCTGAAGGCCAGAGAAAGGACTTAGATTTATCCTGCCTTATCTTCGCCCCGAGGAAGAGTAAGAAACCCTCGGATTTTAGACTCTAAACACACTCAGATCCCTTACCAGAGGCAGAGGGTTTCCCAGATGCCTCAGATGACCATCGAGGACGAGGTGGAGGCCCGTCCACTGATCCTTGAGAGAGAAAGAACAGAGCCCTTGTATGGGTTTTTCAGAAGAAACGGACCAATTGTGGACAGGTCAGGGTTCAACTCTACCTAGAAAGCAACATTAAAAACGGGTCTCCTAATACACATGAGGGGAGATCCCAAACTTACAAACAGACTGAAAGGGTTAAGGCGAGCTGTCTGACGGAAAGAACAGCAAGAAAACATACGTTAACAGCACCGGCAGGGACTTCGGGCTACAGGCCTGCCGCAGCGGCACACACAGACGGTTTTCAGTGTGTGTAATCTGACCTCCGTACCTTGCCAAGCATTACAGACGTATTTGTAAGAAATAGGTACAGCATCGTATATTAATGGGCTATAAATTATAAAGTCTTTTATAGTTACTTTTACAATACTCCAGGGAGGAACCCCATAGAAATTTAAAGATAAAGGCTTATACTTTGCAGTGAAGAATTCAAAAGCAAAAAAATGATATTTATCGTTAAATGGTCTATATTTTTATGTATTTATATGTTACGTTAATGTTAATAATAATAAACTCTTTCTGTTCTAAAGCAGATCTTACAGCAGACTATTTATTCAGCAAGACAAATTAAGAATTCTTTTTCTCTATACCGAGCAGACCCAAATTCTAAAATGTTGTTTGCATTAGAATTCTCAAAAGATGGGGGGAAAACCTCCAGGAGACACAGTTTACTGCGAGGTAAAATGTGAATGCTCACCGAATTCACTTCTAGGCATGTCTCTTCGATTGAGGGTAGCAGAGAGCGGTCTGGCAGGCGGGTCAGCCGTCGGGGGAGGGGAGCACTCCCCCCCACTCACAGGAGATGGACCAAAAGAGCCGTTCTGGCTCAGAGGACCTGACGATGACAGTGCCCTGTTACCACTCTGAGGCCACCTTTCTTTACTGAGTTCTTGGGGTTACTTCTAGGGCATCGTAACTAAGACACACAGAAATAAAATGTGATTTCTGTACGTTTTGACCAAAACCTCGAGAGCTGCCCTTTCAAAGTGCTGCTACCTCTCCATGGAGGGTTCTGGGCGCTGGGTCTTCCCGGCCGTGGCTTCACAATCACGGGCTCTTCCTGCAGCACTGCCATCTTCTGGGTTAATTCCAGTAACCTGGATGCGGAGGGAAAATGGACTCACACATGAAATACAAAATTCCCCCATGCGATCACCAGAAGCACAGCCTTTAATAACCCTAAAACGCACTGAAAACACAATTCAGTATCCCATACTTGTGTCTCAGGTTGGCAGCTTCCCTCTTCTCCTCAGCGATAGCTCTTTCTGCAGCACGAGCCTTGAGCTGTTGGAGAAAACAAGATCCAAATCAGTTGTGGTGGGCCACACACAAAATAAAGGAAAGGAAAAACAAGTCTTACCCAGTTATCATGAGCTTTCTTCTCGTGAGTAGCAATCTGGAAAAGACAACACATCAAAAGCTGTGTTTAGGGACTCGTTTAACAGGCACTACAACAGTCCACTAGATACCAAAGAATTCTGCAGCTCTAGGACAGTACGGTAATTACCTGGGTTTTAAACGAGCGCTCGGTTTTCTGTAATTCATCCTCCATTTCTTGAATTCTGCGCCTAAGAATCACACTTGCGTTTATCAATTAAAGTGCAACTAAAGAATAGTTTCAACAGTCTCACCATACCCCCTTGACTGTAACACCTGCACTCCTGCGGGCTCCGGGCTCCATCCACAGCCTCGTGGTCATAAGAAGAGCATAAGATGATCAAAACTAATATTCATTTCCCTACTATTTACCGGCTGGAGATTCTGAGTTGATACGCTAATCTTCCCGACTGCTCCTCGATGTTCTCAAGCAATCCTGCTAAAGATATCTTTCTCCTCCATTAAGCATAGCCACGGAAGATCTCCCAGAGCTGCCACCCCCGAGTCTATCAAATGGCACAATCGCTTTCATGATTTCTGCTACATCATTACAGCAAACGGCCTTCCGAAAACAATTACTCCAGCACACAAAACCCCCCGGAACCGTTGGCACGAACCAAGTTCCCTTACGGTCTTGCCAGTATTGGGTATAAAGAAATGTCTGTTAATGTGACGTCTTTTCCTTTGTTAACCTAAACTTTTTTTTTCCTCACATGAATTAACTGTACTTACACCCTTTGACCGTTTATTTATGTTCTGGGCTACTTTGTTCTACACACTGTAATATGGTTTTTTAAGAAGCCAACAGTAGTTTCCCCAGTCGCTGACCCCTCTTTCGAAGCTGAACTCACTTGTACGTTTTTACTTCCTCTGCAGCCAAAAGCGCCTTTTCATCCGCAGCTGACAGCCGCTGCTCTCGGTCTTGCCGCTCATACTCTTCCTGACTCAGTTTCCTAAGACAAAATCGGTCGTCAGTCCAAAGTGTTTGTCTTCCCAGCGGCCTGAATGCCTCTAAGCACACATCACCTCCCCTCCTCTCTAAAACACACAGCAGACGTACAAAGTCAGGAGAGAGCTCAAACCTGCCATTCAAGGATAAAAAAATCAATCTCTAGCCTGTTGGCAAATCACCTGCACTTTCTAATGTCTCGTAATTCTTCACTCACCAGTAAAGAAATGTCAAAAACTCTACATGCCCAGGGACAAGTTTCTTGTGCTTAACACCGTGAAAGCCCACTTCCCTGTGGAAGGCCCGGGCTGCTCAACCTCACACAGGTAAGATTCAGGTAAAGCAAGCGATCATTACTTATTTCTACCACAGGAAACCTAGTCACTTTCCTTATTGCTATCATGGAAGGACTGCTTCTCAATCCGAGACGGGTACCACGATAAGAGAGTCGGCCAAAGAAGGCCTTTTAGAACATGTCTTGTAACCTGTGCAATTAACCACAGAACATTCCCACACTTCAGATATGGAACACCTACCACCTATTTCAGCGGAATTGTGATTTGAGAACAATCTCAGAACTGGCAATGTCTAGTGAATAAAATAGATAAAGAATCCCAGATGTTGCATTATCAGGATATTACCTACTGGAAACTGGTTTTAATCCAATTAACCTCCAAACTCAAGATGTTAATCTATAAAACAGACCGCAATGGCAGCAATGTTTAAAGGTTTAAAAATGCTGTTCTCAGGGCGCCTGGGTGGTTCAAGTCAGTTAAGCATAGAACTTCAGCTCAGGTCATGATCTCAGTTTATGAGTTCAAGCCGTACTTCAGGTGAGCACAAGGCCTGCATTGGGTGAGCCCCACTTCTCTCTCCCTCTCTTCCCTCATGAGAGTCTGTCTCTCTCCCTCTCACTCGTGCCCTCTCTTTCTCAAAAAACATAAAAATAAAAATGCTTTTCTCGTTGCCCTTGTACATCTTTGCCCATAAGTCTAATTCAAAAAACACTTAACTTGAAACTTAAATTTCTATGAATCAGAAGCAAAATGAGAAGAGCTATAAAGGGTTTAATAACAGGAAAGAGAAGAAAGGTGTATATATTCTTTTATACTTAATACTCAGCAAAATATCGTATGAGTGGCTATGATATATTGGTTACCTAGTAAGACGCTAAGTCAAAAGTATGAGCAAAGTACTCTCCCTGCACTAACAAAGCTCACAGTTTACCGTGTAAAAGATGCACATAACAAGAGGAAAATCCCTGTCTCTGGCTTAGGAAGAGATGTGAGAAAAGATGAGTCAATGTTTTTTCCAGTGATGAAGGAGTTGGTCTGAGAATACTGAGAACAATTAGAACACTGGACAAAAACATAAAAAATGTGCCTGGAGGCATCAGAGAGCTAATGTATTAGCTAACAAGTGAATATATGAGACCAAGTACCAGGAGGAAGAGGAATCTCAGAATTACAAGAAAGCCTGGTATCTGAAGCCACCTTTTCCCCAGGTTCATCCCACACACTGAAGACAACAGAGACCTAAGGAGACTGAGCATAGCTTTCAACGGACCCTGGGTTGTAAGAAAAATAAGTGGAGTTCAAGGTTACCAATGACAGAGACCCCCAGTAAAAGCCCTAGGGTTTGGGTTGAGACTCGAAAGAGCTATGCAGACAGGCAATACAGTGTCCTTTGAAGGGATGAGGCCATTTCCAAAGGATCTGAATTGCTGACTGTATTAAAAATCAAATGGGGCGCCTGGGTGGCGCAGTCGGTTAAGCGTCCGACTTCAGCCAGGTCACGATCTCGCGGTCCGTGAGTTCGAGCCCCGCGTCGGGTTCTGGGCTGATGGCTC